GAAAAACATTTAAAGCTGTCAGGACTTTATAGTTCTTAGCCCCAGTTAACCAAAATCTACCATGTAGTTTCTCAGTTGTTCCACTTTTGTTTCTTTCAAGTGGTAGCACTGGTTCCTGGAATCCAGCTCCTAGTCAGACTTGGTTAACTGGAGCTATTTGCCAACAACTTCTCACAGAGATGACATATTTATTAACAGGTTAGTCTTACAATACATACGAGGCATGGAGGTTGAATGTCAGGAGCACCAACTAAATGACAGGTGCTGTTCAAACAAAACAAACAGTTCCTACCCCCAAGTGTTCACACTCTAAGAGGATAGTTTAATAGACACACACACCCTTCAACAGTCTTTTATAATAGTACAGGGTGTTCAAACTTTACAACCAAGGGCAACACTGGCCACTTCCCTGAGCCCAAGGGTTGCATTTAACCGGCATAAAATGGAGCATGTTGCACTTGCTTTCTTCTTTAACAAAGGTTTGACCCATGGAGACCAGGTTCTGACACACAGTGCTCCATCCTTGATGCAAGTGAGTAGGCAGTTTGGATTAAGAGGAAGCTTTGCATGTTGGGACTTTTAGCCTGTATATCTCTATATTAAAGATATGTGCAGCTGCAGGTTGCACTTTTGCTACCCTGTACGAGCATTTTCAGTGTGACCCAAATGGCTGACAGACCAGCCAAGCAGTTCCATCTTACTGATCTGCTCATACAAGACTTTATTACAAAAGAGATTGTGAACAAGAACATTAACTTAACATCTTGTTTTTAATCTTGAAATGAAGAGACTATCTACATTTAATCAGACTCAAAAATCCTCCCCAGTCCACGATGATAATGGAATAGTCAATTAATGCACAAACCATCTCACTGCATAAAGGACATATACTACATCTGCAGGAATCTTTTCTCTTTATGATCATTGGTCCAAGGCCAGAGCATGTAAAAATGTATTGGTCTTGAAAGCATTTGTCCGGTTCCAACAATATGTTTCTAGTATAGCTATCTGTGAAATATTGGACCATACAGTATAGGTATTAAATTAAGTTATTTTTGCTGCTGAATTAACTATTTGAAAACCTCCCTATATTTCCAAGGAACTTAAATTATAAAGACCTAGAAAAGAGATAAAGTCCAATATTTTGTCCACTTACAATAACTAAATTGAGACAATTTATTTCCTTATTAAAGAAGAGCTATGTCAGTGGAGGTCTGATTAGATGATTGAGGGTCCCTTCTGGCCTTAAAGTCTATGAATGTTAGCAACAGCAGGAACTCCAACAGCATCAAACTTCACTTAAGCGAGCCACAGTGGAGGTAAAATATTAACGTGTTCCCAGAGAGTACTAAGGGTTTTACAAAGTTAATTCAACAAATAATAAAAGACATGATAAATATATATTAGTAATAAGGAACATCTAATCTCTAAAAGCTGGTCATCTTGATTACCCTCTTGCTCTTTTCATCTCACTTCAGTTCCAACATTTAATAGCCAGTGGCTTACAAATCAATAAACGTTAGAGATAATCCTTTATACCATTGCAAGCTAGGGTCCCAGACTCTCAAATGGTACTGGCATATATGGAATTCTCGAGACAATGGCAATTAAAATCATATGTGGGGCTGGCGAAGAGGGTGCAAGAGGGTAACAAGAACACCCCAATTTTAACATGTACTGTCTTGGCTTGACCTGCTGGGTGTAAAGTGAATGCAATACCCATCAGGAAAGCTAGGATTTCAGAGCCTGGACACAAAGGTAAACCCAGCATGGATTAATATTCAATACAGAGTAACAGCTACATGGAAAGTAACTAAGAGCCTTCTGGGAACAATGAATGAAAAATGTTTTTAATTGCAATTCTACCTTTTGCCAAAAATAAGGTACCAATTTTAAAAAGAAGTCACGGGCCTGATTCTAGAAGGGTGCCAAGTGCTTTTAATTCCCATTCAAACCAATGGTAGTTGAAGGCATCTTATTAGCATTTGGTTTTAAAATGGTCTCTTATAGCCAGTTTCTTTCATGGGTAACTCTGCTCCTTCATATCTCAAAAAAGTGACCCATCTTAAGATCAGAGGAAACATTAGACGTTTGTTACAAAATAAGCCCCAGAAGAAGGAAAAAATTAATTTCCTCATGAAATGGCACTAAAACTATGAATATATTGGAAAAGCTCCTATGAGATTTTTCATGCATATTTCACAGATATCATGTGCAGTATGATTCAATGGATGTTGCATCAATATTACACAGCATATTTCTGCATGAGCAGCCAGAGTAGAAATGGAACCTGTCCATTATCCAAGGCCTTCCTTTTTCTTTTTGTATTAATCTTAGATTTAAAAGTTGGAAACAATTTATGACAGCATACAGCTCTCTAGATGAAAAACTGTTTGCAACTACAGAATGACAGTTACAGTGGACTATAAAATTCTGTCTTCATAACACGTTTAGAGAAAGCTTCATACTGGTCTAAAGAGTTCATAAATGCATCACAGGCTGTCTTGTAATATTAGCACTTTGACAGTTTTTTTCTACATTTAATTTTTGAAAAGAATAACTTATAAAGCAGCCACTGAAAACACAAAGCCAAAAGATGATCTAGTAATTTACTCCATTAAATGGCTGAAAATTTTTCTCTTCTGTTTTAAAGGATATCAGCATTTTTATTTATAGGACTGGGCAAACTAACTAGCTGTTAAACATTTCTACATAAATCATGATTGGATTTTTTTTCTAGTATGAAAATATAACCCCCCCGAATATGGGTCGTGATCACAGTTTGCCAAACTAGTCCCAGAATCCGGTCGTGAATATTTCATTCTTTTTTATGCTTAGCTTCCACTTGCAATAAAATGCAGTGTACCAAAAATCTCATTCTGTAACTTATTGCACTTCTGGGAACGAAGTACCTTTTCTCCAGCATACTTTGTTTAGCCACTTCCCATTTCAAAAGATATAATATCTTTAATCCTATAATCAACTAACACTCCAAGGGAATCTTTAAAAACAGCAACAAGAGGTAGAACAAAAGTGTGAAAAGGAGCTGGGGACTAATGAATTTGAGTGTTTCCCAAATGTCTTGTTACAAAATCACATACCAAGAGGATCCTTGAGATGACAACCCAATAAATGAAAAGATGGGCTAAAAGAGGACATGGAACTGACACCACTCTCACAGCATTGGACTGAGATGTTATAAGATAGTGACAGTTTAACTCACTGCTCCTGGAACATGTATGTCTGGCAATGCTGGGCAAGCACAGTTGCTGAATGTAGCTGTTATAATTATTAAGCACAAAAGAGGTTAATATGGACAATGAATGAGTGATGGAAGATATTAGTACAAGGGAAAGTATATGGAGTAATGGCTAAAAACACTCTACTGTCTCCAAATAATGATGTATTTTCTTATATATTAATACATATTGACTATTTCAAAAGCTGTTCAATATTTCCATGAGTTTGGAAAGTCTCTTGATTTGCAAGACAGTTTAACAGCCCTGATGCAAAAAACAAAACAAAAACAAAAAAAACCCACAATTTTAACTTGTCCGTTTTTTGTAAACTATTTTTCATTTTCGGATGATTCATTGTGCTATGATACATGGTTGACTAGACTAATATAAAAATAATTGGGAAAAACTCCTTGTAACCATCTTAAAATGGACAAGTCAGCCCTGGGCTGATTTTGTAGTTAGATACAGTACAAAAAAGTAGTGATGATGACAGGTCTCATCTGGGTAATATTTGCTGTTTTGTTATAGCAGTGAACTGTGTACACACACTTTGGCTACAGTTAATTTTTTAAACTAAAAATAATCTGTGTTGTGTCCCAACCTGCTGCAGTTGCCTCAGAAAACAATCAACTGTCAAACATAAAAAACAAGCCAACCAAGTGCAAACAGTGAAGGCCTCCCTTTTCAGATGATGGATGGCTACATTTGGAATGGTTTGCAATTTTCTTGGTTGATTAGGCTGTGACTGGAGGAAATGTATTAGTAACAACTGGAAATGGTATTTTAAAAAATTATTACAATCACACTTGTCTGAGGCTAACGTATAATGTTCCATTTAACTCACAAAATTAGACATGAAGACAATGTATTTATAGAAATAGCTATAAACTGCAAAGCTTAATTTTTCTGATACCGGTGAACCAATTTTTTTGAGTGAGGGTTTCATGACCATAAGTCACCTGCAAATAAAAGGAAGAAAGCTTTCGTCCTTTGCTTCTATTCATTTTGGACCTTTTCATTGATTTTCATCTATTCTAATGTACAGTACAGCAGATTTTCTCTGTGATTTATTAGCTTGCTTTTGCCTCTCCCCTCCACTTCCCTGCTCCAAAGAGCAGCATACTACTGAGAAACTTGTGCAAAACAGTTCTTAAACTCCTTATACGGGACTGGAAGTGGAGCCATCATTTTGGATAACGTGTGTTGTACAATGACTGTAGATGCACAGTGTCAAACTTACGGTCTCTGAGGAATTAATAGCTGGTCCAAAAAATTCTGGACAAAAGAAAAAACAAACACACTTGACCATAAAATGCTTCAAATTCAAACAAAAGAAAAAGCAGGAAGTCCATTGGCTCTAATCACTTTGGAGAAATGAAACTACTTCCCTCTGACAACCCATACTGAAGCATCTTGTCTCGGTACACTTCTCTATACAGGCAGCTAAAGAAGAAATTAGATTCAGGGAAGAAAAGCTTACACCAGGTATAGGCTGAACATTAACTGCCTGATAATGCCAAGCTAAACTAAAAACATCTACTTCTTGACTGGATGATTCAGCAAAGAACACAGAAGCTGAAATGAAAGAGGACAACGCTTGTGGGGACTTGCAGACCCTCAATACTAGGTTTCTAACAGTGGGAGAAAAAAAGGGTAGTTGAAGACAGACCCGAAATTGAATTACTGTCCTTCAGTGTGAGTTTCATTGTTTCCAAGATATCTTACAGGAAATGTTATGTGGAGGTAAAACATGTGCTGAGTTCTAGATTTAGAGAGGCGCTCTCTCTCTCTAAAATCACACTTACATTTTGCTTCTCAGGATGAAAGACAGACATTTTTAGGTGGATGTAGAAACGAAGTTAGGATTAAAACTTTGAAGCATTCATAAACAGAATCAGATAAAGATATGCATCTCTGTATTTGCATTAGACTTCTGCCTGTTCACAGGCGCTCCCACCCCACATTCTAAGAGACAGCAATTGTGCAAAGAGATGCTTAATAATGAAAACATGGATCTGGAGAATTTGGGCACAGAATTCCTGGATTGATAATAACTGGATGATATATCAGACCATTTTTACACAGAGCTATTTAAAGAGCCTCAGACTCTGGTGACCAAAGATCACTCATTGGAGTGGAAAACTGTGTTTAGAGTTCTTGAAGGACTGGGTTCTGCTTCAAAGCTCAGGAAAGATGAAAGACTTCAACAAGTTTAGTCATGAAACTCCTACTACAGCAAAGAGTCCTTGGTTCATGGATCTGTGCTCAGCTGACCTGGGAAGTCAACTGCAGGAAGGTGGTAGAATCCCTGACAATTTCTACAGGAAAGGAAAGGCCAGCACAGCTCTGCTGTCCACTCAGTACTCATGGTCCTCCACTGTACGAATAATCTGCCTTGTTGTGCATCACCAGCTTGTTGTCTACAAAGTAGAAACTGTCCGACTGTGTCTCATAGGGGTGAAGGATCATCTCTCGAACTGCAAAAAAAGTTGCACATTGGTAAATTTTTGTTTTTACCTCACACAAACGATAGACTGTAAATCTGGTGTTTTCTTCAGCAATTATACCAGGATGTGTAAAGATACAGTTTACATGGTTGTTCTGGTCACAACTAATGGCCATCCTGAAGCAAGTGACCATGAGAAATTGTACTGTCTAGGTACTTACCTGCCCTCTCCCCCTTATCTCTATAGTATCTAAGCACCTCATGCATAGGGCGCTGGGAAAAATCAAGGATTTGTTAAAGAAAGTTCACGGCAGTGTCATGGGTACAGTAGTGATTTTCATGAGATATGCATGGGATACAATCAGCAAAAAGTCACTGCTGCATTCCTTTGTATAAAACCAGCCACTGAGTCCCTCATGAATTGCTGCAATTTATTCTGGCAGCTGCAAACTATTATCTCCCTCTCCCCTACTTGGTGCCCACCCATCTGCTTAGCTGGCTCACCTGCAGACTTAGCAGATGGTTTTCTGGAACATGAGCAGCCACAGCCTCAGTGGGGAGATGAAGTGTACCCCAACTGCCAAGTCCCCCCAGACTGCTACAATTTTCCCATCAGCAGACACTGGTCTCATGCTCAGTGTGACTTGTAGCACACAGCAGTACCACATCAGAACAGTAGTTTGGGGAGATTCAGTGGCTGGTATATGTTCCCAGCTCCCCACTCAGGCCGCTTATGTTTCAAGCAGTGGCCTTGCATAAAACCAGCTACCAAGTGTGCAGAAGATGAGCCAGATTGGTGCCCACCCACCACCAGGCGGAAGAAAGGGAGAAAAAAAAGTCTGCAGCTGCCAGAGTAAATCAAAGCAGTTCGGGAGGGGGAGGGGGGGGAAGCGATTTAGCAGACGGTTTTACACAAGGCAGCACTGCTGCCCCGACATGAGGCTGCCACACACCATGAGCTGCGCCAAGCACAAAACTGCATATGCAGAGGCCCCCTCTCTGCTGTTGAAAAAAATCGCAGTACTGGATTACTTTTGTGATTTCTGCAGTCCATGAAATTGTATTTTCTCAGGGCCCTATTAATAAACATTAATGAGCTTCTCCTTGCAACACTTCTGTGAGATGGGAAGTATCATCTCCATTTTACTAATGGGCAACCGAAGCACAAAAAAGTGAAGTGATTTGCTCAAGATCACACATGAAGTCTGTGACAGGGCAGGAAGTGAACCAAGATCTCCTGGGTTCCAATCTAGTGCTTTAACCATTAAGCCTTCCTTTCTAAGCACAAGGTTTAAAAGGGAGCTGAGGGTGAGGGGAGCAGAGGGGCGCTGCACTCAAAAAGTGACTAGGGACATGCCATTCTTACTCAGAATCTGCTTCCTGTGATTACGTCTGACACTCTAAAGTTCATACCATTGCACAAGCAATACAAAAATCTCTTCATATTAGGGTTCCACTTATAAACTGTTTAATAAATGATTGGTAGATGTTTTAATAAATGGGTAATCAATTATTAGTGTCCAACAGGTTGCTTATAATCACCTATAAGCACATCAGCGGAAAGTGCTTATAACTACCTATATAACATACTACTCAGGCCTGTTACATGCTTATAACATCTATTAATCATTTGACCCTGCACAGGCTGTTTATAAGTGAAATTAATATAGTGTGACCAATACATCTACAGAAGAGTGAGCGCTCTATTGACCATTGTCACCTATGGTAAATTCTGAGTGCAGAATCTTATCTCTGAAGAAGGAGGTAGAAAAAAAAAAAATACAGCTCAATTTTTGAGTCCTAGGTAGTTTGCAGAGCTGGCATTTAGGCAGAAAAACTCAAAACTTGGCACATTTGACATGACTGTTGTTGAAAGAATAAACATGAAGGTACAACCCCCCCACCCCACCCCCATCATCAGCACAGAGCTATTCTTCTGCTGATAGCCAAGGCCCCAGGGACTTGGGCCAAATCATTTACATCTAATGTGCAACAATCCTAATTTCTGCAGCTCAGCGGCACTAAATTATACAGCAACGTTAATTGATTACAAAATAACTTAGGTCTTCACAGTTTGATGGAAATAATTCTAAAAATGCACCACAAAATGAAATGTTGTAGCCGCATCAATCCCATGATATTAGAGACACAAGATGGGTGAAGTAATATTTTTCATTGGACCCAACTTCTGTTGGTAAGAGAAAAGCACAGCCATTTCAGCGGTGGTTGTACATCTGGCACAAGAATGTGATTTCTCTATTAACACAGATGCTTCCAAATAGTTTTTGTACTCTCCCATTCCCACTTAACAATAAATACATGGCTCCATTTGGGATGGAGCCCTCCAAAATAACTCCGTTTATCGTCCCTCCCTGGCAACCCATTGACTGGGAAAACTTACTGAGATCCTCCGAGAGCTGTGGGAATTCATAGATGTGTTCACAAGTGTTTTTACTGCTGGGGATGCAGAACCCAAATTCAAAATCAAAACTCTTGAGCAGCTGATCCCGGAAGTAGTGCCTCTCAATCATGCGGAAGTTATTAATGGGCTTGTCCCCTACTGTGAACTCTACCCTGCAATGGAGAAGAAAGGAAGATTGAAACAAGGAGTTTTGTTCCTGGTCAAAAGTTTCTGCTCACCACACACAACTGAGTCCTTTTAAACAATGCTGAAAATCTTAAAGCAACTGCTCCTAAACATGCTTGTATAAAGGCACACAATGTGATGCTACAAATCAGCCAGGAAGCAAAGCAATCAGGATTACACAATGCACACAATTATTTTTCCTGCACAAAAGTGAAATACGAGTGTGAATTTCACCAGTTTAAATCACCATCAGTAGAGGAAAAGCTGCTCAAACATATTGCATAAACAGCAGAGCATTCAGCACAGCTTCCTTAGTATAGGTGGATTTTTTCAAAAGCTATTTTAATTAGGGCTGTCAAGCGATTAAAAAAATGAATTGCAATTAATCGCACTCTAAAATAATAATAGAATACCATTTATTTAAATATTTTGGGATATTTTCCACATTTTCAAATATACTTATTTCAATTACAACACAGAATACAAAGTGTACAGTGCTCACTTAATATTTATTTTTGATAAGTACTTGCACTGTAAAAAAAGAAATAGTATTTTTCAATTCACCTAATATGAGTACTGTAGTGCAATCTCTTTATCATGAAAGTTGAACTTACAAATGTAGAATTATGTACAAAAAAAACTTGCATTCAAAAATAAAATGTAAAATTTTAAAGTCTGCAAGTCCACCCAGTCCTACTTCTTGTTCAGCCAATCACTCAGACAAACAAGTTTGTTTACATTTATGGGAGATAATGCTGCCGGCTTCTTATTTACAATGTCACCTGAAAGTGAGAACAGGTGTTCTCATGGCATTGTTGTAGCTGGCATCACAAGATATTTACGTGCCAGATGCACTAAAGATTCACATGTCCCTTCATGCTTCAACCACCCCAAATGAAAGTGAATATTTATTGCTTGAACAGAGTAGCAGGCAATAGGATGAAGAGGCTGGCATGCAACTTGGATTCTTTGTCCCAAACAGTAAGGATGTGGATTCCCAACCAAAGCACAACGTTAGGGGTGCTTGTTTTAAGACTCTAGAGGCAGAAACCTTCACTTTGTTCCTAAACATTCTGCCTACAAGTTCTCATTCTTTAAAATTCAACCTTTAATTAGGATGTAATCAGACATCCAAAAAATGCTGTTTGTCTTCTTTAAAAGTTAGACTAATGCAAACCTCTTTTTAAGAATAGCCCTGCTTTGAAACTGAAACAGTTTCCCAAATTCCAGTCTGACATGAATCCAAACTAGTGACTTCTACACACCTGAAAAATGGGATTGGTACTGAAACAGCAGCTGATGTTTATGTAATTAAAGTATTGTGGATGTGATCCTATAATACTGATGGGCATGAAGCCTTTAATCTGCTGTAATAATTTATACATAAGTGAACGTGGAGAAAACAAAAGGATCAGACACAACCTGATCCAATATCCTGTAGGCAATCTCTGAGGAGAGCAGAAAGGGCCCTCCCACCCAACCTAGAAGGGAAGGTATGGGCATCTCAGCCAAAACTTGCACCTCTCTACCCACAACACCCCACCATAGATACATTGCTACCTGTAAGGGAAGGACACGTTTAGAGCGAGCTAGGCTCACCTGGAATAAATTAATAAACAACAAATTCCCTGAACCAGTTAGTTTTTTCATTTTTCAGGATATGCTTCCCCCCAATATATGCACATCTGCATTTTACAATTTAAAAGTCAGTGGCAATATTCTTGGACTGAAGTTTTACAGAAAAATCTGTTTTATTGGTGCTGCACTTTGGCATCATTTATTGACATGCACCAGGTCCTACCAGACACACCAAAGGTAATGCAATGGTGCAAATTTTGATGTGCTTTAAGTGTTCACATTGTAATTCATTATTCCATTCACATCCATGGAGTGATGCTGGGAATGAGGGAGGCTGCAGATCCCTCTTTCAAAATCTGAGCAACTGAGACAGCAACTGCCAAGCCACACTTCTCGGAAGAGGAGCTGGGATACCTGCGTGTAGCCTGTTGGTTCTGCACCGCCACATGAGACCCTAGCATTAGTCTCTTGGACCCCATTTCTCGATTCGGTACAAGCACTGGGCAGGTTCAATGTTCAAACCTCAAGGTGTTAGGAGATCCTCTTCACAATCAACAAAAAGCCTCTACTAAACTGACTTAAGTTGCAAACCTATCTGGTACCTACAGCAAACTAAAGACATTTTCACCCCAACCAGTAAGTGTGCAACCGATTTCAGTACTACAAAGAGCAGCACAATACCCCAGGTACTTACGTGGCTCCAACTTGCCGAAGTCTAAGGAAAGCTGGGGTGAACTGATAGCGTACAAACCGTCCGGCATTAGGGTCAACATCCTTTTTATCACCATGTTCACGTTCTGGAATGGCACAAATCAAATCATCATTGTGGACTGAGAAATGGGAACCTAAGGAGAGCATCTTTAACTGGTACCTTGAAGTCCCCCCTTCCCCTTCAGAGATCCTCCATTCCTGATACTGCCTGTCTCCTCAGTTTGAAGGCCCAGCCAAAGATTGCATAAGATGTTTGTGAACAAGTCAGGCAAACTCAGGCACTGAGAAGTTAACTATCTGCAGAAAGTGGCTAATGTTTACTTATCTACCAGGGGTCCTGCGCTGTGTATTGTCTGTAAAGAGCTTGGATATCCTCAGGTGGAAGGTAATATAAAAGTACAGTATTACACCTCTACCCCAAACAGTTCCAGTCACTGATGCTATGTCAGCTAATCTATTTGCTTGTTTGTATCCCTAACGAGTATGAATACTTCCAGAAAACTAAAGACAGATCTACCATCTGCCTGCTTCTTGAAGGAAATGTAGTGATAGAGATAGCACAGTCCAACTTTGCAGCAGCAATTTCTTTGTGAAGGAATCAAGTCAGTTGTGGCAGTAGAGAATGAGGTGGGCCTCTCTCTGGATCTCCTCAACACATTCTCATTATTTTATTTTGGTTCTTCAGAGCTGATTTTATCATGTGGCTATCACTGTCCACAAATCAGTGTGGGGCTGTAGTGTTGCTTCAGAGCCATAAAGTTTGGCTCTTCAGCTCTGTTCTTCTCCTCATGCCATTCCATGGGGATAGCATCCCCTAGCAGAAAGCGGTAATGCACACACTGGATTCCAGCTCTATAAACATGGAAGAATCTGAAAACAGTTATACAAAGTAAATGTTTGCAGAAGAAGCTGGCAGTGGAGGCCAGGTCACTAGCTTCTCTCTCCCACTATCTCAGGAGTTGGCTCACAAGTATAAGACAGGCATACAGTTTGGAATGACTGGCAACCTCCGCTCAATGGAGACTCACTGCTGGAATGGCAGGAGAGTTGAAGGCAAGGACACAGGTGATTTAACAGTGGAAAGTAAGGCCCAGAACTGGAAGATCCACTGGTGCTGCAAATGTGCTAGCAAAGATACATATGGGAAGCTTGCACAGCACTTACCCTCACTATCCCTGGCTAGAACAGACATAAGAAACCTATTACTTTCCATGGCATCAAATTCAGTAACATTTTGAGGGGTTGAGGGAGAATCAATAAACACACATAATGGGAGCTGACATGCAGAAAAGTCTAGAAATGCTAGATTTCCCAACTCCCATTTTCCTTCTGAGTGGGATCTCCGGCACAGACTTGCCACTTCTGCCATATCTGCTGTTTATTCTGTCACTTACAGCATTAAGACTGCCCTGCAGCAGAGCACAGCAAAGGGTCTGCCTGCTACTTCTGCACACCTCCCTCTATTTACTGGCTGCTGGAGAAACTGTTTACAGGCTACTTTCATTCTCTATCACTGAGCAGGCAAGAGCTTTACATTCGGGGAACAATATTTTAAGTTATTTATATGACTGAAATATAAAGGGTGTGTTCCTCAAATGTAAATGTTGATCTCAATCCCAGCTGCAAAGTCATGCTGCTACCCAGTTAAGTGTCCCAACTCTTGCACTTCTGTGTCAGTAAAGATTCTAGAGTGTTTGGAGTCACTATGCTGTCTCCTGGAGAAGATAAAAATGGCCACACTGGGTCAAACTAGTGGTCCACATGGAAGACAGGATGCTGGGCTAACAGTGACCAGTGCCAGATGCTTCAGAGGGAAGGAACAGAACATGGCAAATATCAAGTGATCCATCCCGTCGTCCAGTCCCAGCTTGTGGCAGTCAGAGGTTTAGGGACATCTGGAGCATCGGTTGTGTCCCTGACTATCTTGGCTAATAGCCATTGATGAACCTATCCTCCATGAACCTGTCTAATTCTTTTTTGAACCCAGTTATACTTTTGACTGCGGGACACTGAATGAGCCATTTCAGCTTTGTGCTTCAGTTTCTCCATCTGTAACATGAAGAAAACTCCATTTCACGTGCAGGGAGATAGAGGTTCAAAGGGACACTTAACTTAAAATATAAGTCATGCTTCTGTCTGAATTGTCATTATCATGGTTACAAGTAACACCAACGATTTAACAGAGATTAAACAAACCCTGTGTGTTTCAGTTTGCTTACTCTGTGTCTTTGATAGCACTTCACATATACTCAGTTCCTCCTCTACAGACAGAGTCTCCCTTTGGAGAAGTGTCTCTTCCCTGCTGCTGCGTGAAAGACATTTTAAGCAATAGGAAAACAGGATTGTGAAACCACAGAAATTGGCAGGGGCACTGAGAAGCTGGTGTCAAATCTGAGACTACTGCTTCCAATGACACTAACCAGTTTCACCATGACCTCATACCGCTGCTCTCCCATTTATGTGCAGTATCCACCTGTTGCTTCTTGTCACATGTAGCAAATTAAAAACACTGGGGAAGGGACTTGCTTTTTTATCACATGTCCATATTGGCACAACGGACACTGATGCAGGCTAGTGCCTACAGCCTGCAGGCCAGATCCGGCCAGTCAGGGTGCTCAATGCGGCCCGCAGGATCGCCAGCCCCATGGCGCAGCGGGGCTAAGGCAGGCTTCCTGCCTGCCCTGGCCCTGCTCCCGGAAGCGGCTGGCACCATGTCCCTGCGGCTCCTGGGGGGGAGGAGGGCTCCGTGCGCTAACCTCACTTGCAGGCACCGCCCCCCACAGCTCCCACTGGCTGGGAATGGGGAACCGCGGCCAATGGGAGCTTCGGGGGCAAGGGCAGCGCACGTGGCAGAGCTGCCTGCCGCTCCCCCACCACAGGAGCCACTGCTGGACATACTGGCCACTTCTGGGAGCAGTGTGGGGCCAAGGCAGGCAGGGAGCCTGCCTTAGCCTGGCTGTGCACTGCTGCCACCCTGGAGCCGCTTGAGGTAAGTGGCGCCGGGCCAGAGCTGCACCCCAAAGCCCTCCTGCACCTCAACCCCCTGCCGCACCCCAACCCCCTGCCCTGAGCCCCCTCCTGCTCCCCAATCCTCTGCCCCAGCCCTACATACAATTTCCCCACCCAGATGTGGCACTCGGGCCAAAAAGTTTGCCCACCCCTGGCCTAGAGGCCCAACTTCGATAGGAATATAATTTTTTTAAAGTGACTAGATTTCAAGTTGACAGTGCTATTTGAGAAGTGCTTGGAGTGAAAGGGGCTGGAGAAAGGCAAAGGTTATTTCGTAAGAAGAGAGATGTGAAGTGGCATTTGTTTAATAGTGACAACACTCTCTGCACTCACCTGAGGCAGGTGGTTTAGTGATTTCAAACAGTACTGTGCCAGACTCCATGTCTCGGATTTTAAACCTGGTGAAATCTATTTTATACACGTTTTCCTCAGGAGTGCACAAATAATCTGTGGAAGGAAAACAAATTCAGTAAGGAAAGTGTGTGTGGCCTTGGCTTGGACTTCAGACTGCTCTCTGGGATCACAACCAACAGTGGGGGTGGCCAAATGCACCCCAAAAACCCTTTTCTTTAATACAGAGCTGCAGCCTACAGAGGCTACAATTCCCAGCTTGCAGTGCTCCATGTTGATCCAAATGGAAAGATGAAAAGATGGAAAAATGCCTTCTCCCAAGACATGGAGGACTCATTACCATGCCCTGACCCTGGCCCTCCACCTTCTGGATCCCTTTTCTTCCAGGGCACAGAAAAGCAGTCAGCATTCAATAAAGCTCTGACCTTTTCAGTTTAAGAAGTTTTGCCTGTTTTTTTTAAAAACCTCCCTCTGGCAGAATGCAAATGCCAAGCAGCTTTGAAGCCATTAAGCGGACTTCACTGAAATAGAACAAGTATTCCCAAGACACAATATTGCCTCACCTCTCTGTTCACACTAGTCTGGGGGGTAAGTTCTGCTACCTTTTCTTCAGCACTCATGGAAGCTAATAGGAACTTGCCTGCAGCTATTTTTAACTAGAGGTGGATCTTGACTAGACCGTGGTCTGCTAATGGGGCCCTTTGCTGAGTCAACCACTGTTAAGGTCTGTGGCTGAACACCACTCTTTCCAACCCTGGTCATGCTTTGTCTTCGGACCAATTCCAATTCCCTGCCACTAGACAGCAACTCTACCTTTGTGCGGGAGGGGAGATCAGTAGTCCTTGTGGTTACTCTCCATGTTACAGAGGTACAGAGTAAAAGCAGCTCTGAAAACCTATTTTATGCTGGCAAAATTAATTTGGACCTCCAATATACGTAAGTGAACTTAGCTTGCAAATGCATGAGTGAAGAACAGTGTGTGGGGCCTTTCTGAGAGACTTGCTCTAGAGCAGTGGTCCCCAAACTGAGGAGTGTGGAGGAATGTTCTCCACCCCCAGGCCAGCTCCACCTCTAGCCCCAGCTCCTCCTCCAGCCCAAGCTCCTCTGCTGAGCCAACTGTGCAGTAATGGCGCAGACAGATTCCATTACTAGTAAGGGGGAAGTGACAGGAAAAATTTGGGCACCACTGCTCTGAGGTTTGAGCACAACTGGAATCTAGAATTCCTGAGTTCTAATCCCAGCTCATCCTCTGCCACCAACCCCTACTATGGCCTTGGGTCAATCACTTAATGGCTGTGCCTGCTTCCCCACTTCTAAAATTGGGATCATACCCACCTCCCAAGGGTGTGGTAAGGGTCAACTAGCTAAGGACTTGTCTACACTTACATTGAGAGGTCTAGGTTTGATATTAGGAAACACTATTTCACTAGGAGGGTGGTGAAGCACTGGAATGGGTTACCTAGGGAAGTGGTGGAATCTCCATCCTTAGAGGTTTATAAGGCCCGGCTTGACAGAGCCCTGGCTGGGATGATTTAGTTGGGGTTGGTCCTGCTTTGAGCAGCGGGTTGGACTAGATGACCTCCTGAGGTCTCTTCCAACCCTAATCTTCTATGATTCTTCTATGAGTGCTGTAGCTGCACACTAGTGCATAGTGGAGACTATGTCTATGTCCATGGGAGAGCTTCTCCTGTTGGCATTGGTACTCCACCTCCCAGAGACGTGATACCTATGTCAACGGGAGAAGCCCTCTCATTGACATACTGTGATCTACACTGGAGGTTAGTTCAGTATAACTACGTCGCACAAGGGAGTGGACATAGTTATACCGACATAAATTTGTAGTGTAGTGTAGACCAAGCCTAACACGTGCGAGGGAATTACTGTAGGTTCCAGATAGGAGGAGCGTGCTTTAGAGGAAGCACAAATGAAGTGCTTATACTAACTACGGTGTTGGGCAAATCCTTGGATAGAAAATCACCCGTGTGATTCAAGATTGCCCCAGTACATTAAGAATGTATCTTAAATCCTGCACATTGTGACTAGCAGGATAGAGAAAAAGATATCCTATGATCTCTGCACAACGAACTGTACCAGGAGCCAAACCGCAAAGTCCTCAGGCTGAGATGTGCAATCACAGGAACCAGATCCCAGCACTCTAGAGCAGAAACAAAGACATGTGTTTGATCATTACCATGTTGCTAGCCTGTACTGTGCATTTAATCTGAGGTTTTGTGTGACTTTTCAGCTGCTGTGTTACTGAAAGTTAACTGCACATCCTGTGCCTTTCCTCTTCCAGGAGCCTCTTTGCAGATGCTCTTAACCAGAGAACTGTTTGAGCACTCAACAGCATCAAGAACAGAAGCATTAGATTTACCCTCCACAGGATTTTACTGCTGGGTGCCATCACCAGCAGATAGTGAAAGTTCATAGGAAATGGAGTCTGTTAGGGATGCTATTAAGCACAAAGCTTTCTGTTGGCATGTGGCAGTGACATTTCCCTCTCAGAGTATCAGTACAGAACAAGCAGAAACACTAATAGCATCTCTTTGATTGTTGGTTTGGCCAAAATAATTTTCTTCCTATCCGAGACCTGTGCAGAAGCTCAACTATGTCAGTCATCACAAGTCCAGCTGAAGCCCATTGCTGAGGGAAGAAACCTATTAAAGCAAAGCATTCTTTCAGCTGCATAAAACCCCACATTTCCTGGTGACACTTGAGGCAGAGATAGCCCAGGCATTTAAAGCAACACTCCACTCTGAACTCCAACAAGAAAACCCTAAACTTGCGTACGGGGAACGTGTCATGTGAAGATACATGAGGGTTAAGGGTCAGCGCAGGGCCAGGCCAAACTGTTAGCAAGTCTGATCTGGCTGGAACATTCTAGGATAATTACATAAGTTAATTTGTGCCCCACAGGCACAAATTAACATCACTTCCAGAGGCTACTGCTTCACCTGCTGCCCACTATCAAAGGCCTTGATCAGGTGGCTGTGCACCTAATTGCAGAGAGAGGCAGCTGCTTCTGAAAAGTGTAAGAGCCACAGTCAGTAACATGATCAGACCACATGCTCCAGACAAGTGAACTATTTGGTTGGGGAGGGGGGGGGTGCATCTCTGCAAGTCATGTTTGTCCACAAGTTAATAATTAACTGTTTTTCTTCTGCAGAATTCTTCCCCAGCTAGCACCATGGCAACAGTTATCCCCATCCTAGGCAGCAGTGGTTGCTATAGTAACAGTGTCAGTGGATCATCCAAACGAGAGAGCAGAGCTATGTGCAAAGAGCTTCACAGAAAGCAGAGGGCTGGCCAATCTCTCTCTCTGACGTTGAAAAACCTTCACCATCTTTTCCAGCTCTGCTGGGGGAAGTCTTTGAAACATCCTCATCTTTACCAGTACTCTGGTACCTAGCTGGACCCCCGCCAGGTTAGCTGCCAGGGAGAAGGTAGGATTTGATGCAATTAGTAAGAGCTTTTCTTCCCTACCCCCTAGAATGGCATTGTCCAGTCTCCTAGCAGGAGAGAGAGAGAGGGACACGCTTGATGTGGTATCAACCCAGCTCCTCTCAGGGCTTGTCTACACTACCGCGGTAGTTCGACGGCTGGCAATCGAACTTCCGGGTTCGATTTATCGCGTCTGGTGTGGACGCGATAATTCGAACCAGGAAGTGCTCGCCATCGACTGCGGTACTCCACGTCAGCGAGAGGAGTACCGCGGAGTCGACGGGGGAGCCTGCCTGCCGTGTGTGGACCGCGTCTGAACCGCGGTAAATTCGAACTAAGGTATGTCGACTTCAGCTACGTTATTCACGTAGCTGAAGTTGCGTACCTTAGATCGAATTGGGGTGTTAGTGTAGACCAGGCCTCAGAGTCTGTACTGAGATATTTGCTTCCTCCAAGTCCTGTTTTAAAAACAGGCTCTTTCCGAGCAGCTCCCATTATTAATGATGGAGACACTTGCTAACTGCCAGCCGCCCCAGCACAAACACTGCCTCCTCTCCCAAAGCCTGCTGTGTTTAAGAACCACCTCAGACATTTTGTAAGAAATGTGTTGGCAGAGAAGGAATCCAGCAGCTCATGTAAACCACTGGTGGGACCCTACCCTGACCCACAGATCTTCTTTACAAATAAATATTCCTAGAGAACCAGCACAAGCCCTGTCCACAGCCTGCAGCCACGGTGCGTGAGCTTTGCTCACTTGCAAGCAGAAGTCTCAGGATGCCAGAAAGCAGAGGTCATCTCTAACTAGCCTAGGACAGAGCAGGTTAAAGCCAGCCTCCTCTCTACAGAGATAGATCTGAGGAGTACAGGCTCCAACCTGGCCTGCTCCACCTTCACTAGATGGCTGCACCTCCACATTGAAGGGGGAGAAATGGCCACAGGCAACTCTGAAGAACACCGTACGTTGTATTTGGCCTACACTCTGACACCCAAGCTGTAGGGTGCTGGCTCTGAGTCATCTACATAAAGTCTTCTCCTTCCTACTTAGTCACTTCTACCAGCTCCACATTGACCTGTGTGGCTCTACAGAGGGAAGCATCACAAACTGACCAGAATCAGGGACTTCCATTTACAGACAGTCTGAGAGAGAAATACCTGCAGTCTCACTGCTGAGTGCTGACCATGGGTTAAGGCAGAAGGACCATGGCTAGAACCATGCTCAGAGTACAAGACCACACTGTACAATTGGAGGCAGCCCAGTGGCTGTCAGCGCCACTAGAACTACAGCTCAACCCCTGCAGCATGGTTCAATCAACGGCCAGACCTGGTGGGAGAGGAAAAGCCACTCCTCTGGGGAGCAGAATGAAGTAAGTATGTCCCAAAGCCCCACATCTGAGGACGAGGGTCAAATGATCAAACTGCACCAGAAGGGGCGTGGTGCTGAGCCAGCCCAAAAGCCCAAAACAACAAGTGGCAAGGTGAAGGGACGCCAGCGGACCAGGCAGCCCCACACGGAGGAGGTTTTATAAGAATAAGCTTTATATAAACTCAGGTAAAACAGAAAAATGTTTTTCATTCATGACTTTGCCTCTCCAGAGCCCCCCATAAGGGTGAGACACATGTCCTTGGAAAGACAAGGCAGGAACACAAGCATCCAG